AAGAGGAGAGAGAAGGTGGATCTTGCAAATTCTGGAAAATGCGGGAGGGTGTACAGGTGTCTCAGAGTTCACCGAGCTCTCAGAGTCGGAGTGTAGGTTGTATGGGGGGACTTCGCCAAGGCCGTGACTAGGATGAGGGACAGGGTCCTGGCTGCGACAGTAAGAAGAGGGACCAGGAAGCCCAGCGACTGAACTCTACGGGTGGAGAGTGGGGGTCATGGGTTGAAGACACAACCAATCACCAGGACTGGTGAGGGGTCGAAAGTGAGGTCCCTGAAGAGTCCCAGAGGGTCCTGCGTGGGACCTGGGTTCTGCAGCCTGAGAGCGGCGCTCCATGTGGCCTGGTTCCGAGACACCGCTCCTGCTCTGTTTCAGGTGCACCGGTCGCCACGGAAATCAAGGAGTGTGAGAAGAGAGTCCAGATGCATCAGTGCAGACGCCCCTGTAAACATCACAGAGAGTGTCAGGCAAACAACGTGTGCTGCTTAAGCTTCTGTGGGAGCGTTTGCATGAGCATTCTCTGAGAGGGAGGGGGGCTGGGCTGTGCATCCTGCACCCCCAGCCCTCCACTGAGGACCATGCCAGAGACCAAGGACCTCAAGTCCCAGGCACAGGGCACCAGCAGCAATGCCATTAGCCCCACTGTCTGGACGGCTTGTTCCTGTCAAATAAACCAGAACGAATGCCCAGGGACCTGCCTGTTTTCCCTCCAGGGCTTGCGGTCATTGCGAAACCAGTGAGGAGCCCTGCGTGACCCCGCCTCCCTGGGGCCAGGGCCCGGATCCCGGGGCCCTCATCACGCTTCTCTGCTCTCTCTCCTTTGGGCCCACGCACCCCAGCCCGGCCCCTCCAGGCTCAGCCCCCTTCTTGCTCTGCTCACTGAACCCGTGCCCCCCGCCCCCGGGGAAGGACTGTCGTGTGTGCCACACCCCAGCGCCCAGGAGGACTCCTCACCCTGGGCTGGAAGGGCCAGATGACCCGTGAGGCAGGTGGGGGCTAAGCCCCGGGCCGCAGAGCAGGAGGCCCCAAGGAGGCCTCCTCTTTCTTTCTTTTTCCTTCGTCCTCACCTGAGGACATGTTTCTACTGATTTCAGAGAAATGGGAAGGGCGAGGAGAGAGAGAAACATCGAGGTGAGAAACATCAATCGCTTGCCCCTCGTATGCACCCTGACCGGGGATCTAGGCCACAACCTGGGCGCAGGCCACGACTGGGAGTTAAACCTGCAACATTTTGGTGCGCGACCCACGCCTGCCCCTTTCTCCCCGTTGCCCTTGTAAAGTCCACATAACTGTCTCTTTAGAGGGAAGAGAATGAATCCAGAGACTTAAGTGACTTGCCCAAGGCCAGGGAGAGTAGGGCCCACACAGGCCCTGGCTGGCGGAGGGCGCCTCCTCTGGCCGCCCACCCCCTGCCCCGTGCTCGCTGCTTCGCCGCTGCGGGGGGGCCACGGGCACGGCAGTGAGTGTCGGTGCCCACCCAGCTCCCCACTGCAGCCTCCACCAGGGTGGCCACTCTCCCCACGCGGCCTGGGGCGCGGCGCCAGGACCTCAGACTCCAGTTCCTTCCAGTGACAGAGTGCTCCCTACCCCTCCCAAGTCCTCCTCCTCATGGCCTCACTCCCTCTCCCTTTCTTGAATCCGGAGGAGAGCCACGGGGAGCGGGGGGCAGGGGGCTCCGTTGTGAGCCTGGGAAGGATTAGCTGGCACAGGGTAGCTGTGAGTCTTGTCCGCAGTCTCAAGGTGCGTCCGTGAGAATTAATCCCTGGGGTTCGGGCTCCCTATCTGTGTGACCACAGCGCCTCTGAAGCGGTCCTGGGGCGAGATCCCCCGCAGGGGCCCACACAGGGAATGACCTCCCACATCCAAGTCCAGGGCTCCGTGCCTTGTGGGTGCACCGTGCTTGCCTGGCTGACCTATTCCTTGCCCCTGGCATGAGCACCATGGCCCGTGAATGATACAGGAAACTGTGGTTGTTCTTCCTTGGGGTAACTGGTGCCCTGACCTGTGTTCGGGAGACTTCTCTGGACACTCTGCCCTGCTCCAGGGGACTCAGACACCACACTTCGAATTCTTGGCTGGCCTGTCCTGTCTTACTGGAGCAGCGGTGTGCCCCTGTGTTAGGTAGGGTAGGGGGGTGGGGGACGCCTGCAAGACCTTGAACATTACGGAAGTGGAAGCGGAAGGAAATGCACTTTCTGTCTGATCTGCTTCTGCATAATATTAAATCTCAGCCTGCTGACCACTCAGTGTAATGGTTTCCACAGGTTTTGCATTATTTGTTCCCTGTCATGCTCCAGATCTGCTCCTTTCTTATGTCAATGCACATGGGAATATTCTAGAAGTATCTCCCATCTCATGCATCATGATATTGGTCAATTTCTGCCTTGTGTCCATCCTTTGGATGCCCCCAATGCTCATAGCTGGGTCCATACTAATGCCTTCAGCAACAAAGTGTGTCCCACCCCACACGTGGTAGTTGTCTGTGGCATAGCAAACTCAGGATGCCTGATTAAGAAGTCATCTGGGACACAAGGGTTGGGTTTAGGTGCTGAGTGCCATATCTACCACCAAGAAATGCACTTTGGCTCAAATAAAATTGGAATGGGCATGACATGCAGGATTCGAGGATGGCTCTATTCAAAGGAAGTTCTACTATTAAAATTACATTGTCTAGGAGTATACCCATCTGGTAATGTAGTGTCCAGTGTCTTAGGTGGGAAGAGCTCACTTCCTGAAAATCATTAGTGAAAGACTGTGAGAAGGTAGAAGTGAGAATCTAATCTAGAGGTCACTCAACATCTGACCTCCAAGACTATTCTGGGTCATTGTTGCTGGGCATATCATGGTCCTTTTTTATGTGGCTTCAGTTTTCTTTTATTTACAGAAAGTTTACTTGAATTTTTGTTTTTAACATTAATTACTTTTCTTCTTGGAAAAACTCCAGTTACTATATGTTTAAATTTTCTTTGCCCACCTTCTTTATTAATCTTTTTCTTTCTTATTGTTTTTGCTTTTTTCATTTTATTGTTGGTCTCCTGGCTCTTTTCATTCTTTTTCTCAATGCCTCTTAGAGTTTAGTTGAAATTATTATCTTGATTATTTTGTCACAATCTTTATTTATAAGATGACTTTTATCCCTTTCTTCGATTTTTTTAATGTCTATGAAGCCCTTACTTCATATCTTTCTGGGTTTTTTTTTTAAGGTTTATTTTATCCTCATTCAAGAGGGAGGGAGAAACATCAATGCAAGAGAGAAACACTGGTTGGCTGCTTCTTGCACACATCCTGGCCAGGGATCAAACCCACAACCTGGGCATAAGCCTTGACTGGGAATCAAACCAGTCACCTTTTGGTTAGGGGGATGATGCTCAACCAACTGAGACACTCTGGTCAGGGCTTGGGGTTTTTTGTGTTGTTTGGTTTTTGTCTACTTACACGCTAAGTTTTGATATATCTGGTACAAGGTATTTTTCATATGTCAAAATATTTGTTTACAGATATCTTAATTAAAGTTTCAGTGTTATATTACCCTTTGGGGAGAATTTTTAAACAGAAATATTTTTATTTTCATTTTTCCTTGTCTTTAATAGTAGTTTTACGTTGAAGTTGTCTGCTAGTTTTCCGTTAACTTTGTAACATTTTATTTTAACAGACCAGCAGTAATAGTTTTATGCTCAAATTGTTCTCAGCTTTGGCCACTGGAAGCTCTTTCAGGTTGGTTCCCATTTCCCCAATATTTTAAATTTTGAGCATTTCCTTACTTTGTGATTCTAAAAGATGCCTCAGTCTCACCTTGTATTTTTGATGCCCAGTTCTAGAATCAGCCATTTCTCTAAAAACATTTGGCTAGTTAATTGGAAACTGGTATTTAGAAACCAAGGTCTGGGCTCTTGGTGTGTTTATTGATACTGTGGTATCACTCCTTCCTTAGAAGTCCTTTCAGCAAGCATAGCTAGGAAATATAGGTATGTATAACTAATCCATGTATACACATGTGTCTATAATTATTTCTTTGTCTATCTGTATGCAGATTAATCTCCAAAATCAACTTTATATTGATTTTAAATCTGAGTATCTCAGAGTTTATTCTAACATTCTTCCTTTCCTTATTTGTAACTTCTTTTCTCAGACAGTTAGAAACATGGCCCCTATCATCTACTGGTTATTTACTTATTTATTCAATATTATATATATGTAAAGTTGTTTTAGAATTGTTTACCCATACCCTGTGAGAAACCGATTTACCAGAGACATGCTCTCTGAAAAATTGAATGAAAGGGCTGCTTGCCAATTACCTTCATTAAAATGTCATGTGAAAGATAAATTCTATTCTGTGAAGTCTATGAGATTAGCCTATCGGTTCTACAGTAATTAGATGGGGAAGTGTTGGAAGCTTTTGTACACTGTAAGATAAGAATCATTTTGGGGGTTATAAGAAGGCAATCAAGGGTCATGAAATAGAGCAGAAAAAGCCAAAGGCCATTGTTGGTAAATGAGTTTATTTGTCAAGGATTTTCTCATGCCCAGCCCTCAGTGAGAACTGACTGGTGTCCCAAGTAAGAGGTTATGGTTCTAGCTGTCTTGCATAGATTTCCTGCAAAAAAAGAAAGTTAGATGTTAAGAGTCTAGGGAACTCTGAGAAACAAGCATTCGTTTCCAAGCTTAATACTACCCATCCCGCCAAACCATGGGACAGGTATATTTTACATAACAATAGAAACCGCACACTTCTGCGTGGGTAACAAGTGTGGTATTGGCTGATGGAACACAGAAAGGTAGAAATTCAGGGTCTGGCTGAGCCTAAAGGGCTCATGGAGTCAATGGTTAGAAATCTGGATGAAAATTAGGAAAAGGGCAAACTGTTGAAGAATATAATAAAGACAATATAGGCACTGATTGTATAATGAAAGAAGCAATGTGCCCCAACCTCACGTCTTGGTTTATTTGCCCGTGGATTGCTTTTCAAGCTTAGGGGATATTGTCTTCTGCTATTTTTGTGCCTAGGATTTGGGGTACATCAGTCCTGTCTTTAGGAATAGCAGCATCTGGGGAGAGGGTGAGAACCAGTGATGACACATAGCTAAGCACACATCCCCCAACTCACCCCAGCTTTCCAACAGATGTTTCCACAATAGGTCCAACAGCAGGTGTAATTTATGTTTGCACATTTAAAGGATTTAGAACACTTCCTGGTACACTCATTGATGCTTGGATTTCCCCAGCACTCCTCAATGAGAGCTTCATCCCCTGAAATTAAGATGAAACCATAAGAGGTTAAGAAGCATGAAAAAAGAAACCCTTCAGGGGTTTAACAGCCCTTGGGAGAATCCAAGTCTCAGTCCCCAGCAAGGTAGCTATGTGCCTTATAAGAAAATCCCTTCCTGAGCCTCCTTGTTGCATCTTCACTGATAGTTTTGCCTTCTCTGCTCCCACGGGCCTTACCTGTGTTGCAGATCTCTGGGCCCTCTTTGAGCACCCTCGAGCTAGGACTGCGCGTGCTCCCAGGCTTCATGTGCCCCCCTATAAAATCTGCATTTATATAACAGGAGACCTCAGGGCCTAAGATACCCTCTAGCCTCAATACCATACTCACGTCGTAGTGTGGGAAGCTGGACCAGGCAGAGTAAGGAGCAGATTCCCTCTCTTTTTCTCCTCCTCCTTGCTGACCATGCCTTTCATAACTCAGCCTCCCTCCAAAATCTTCTCTCTCTCTTCAATTTTCTTGGTCCCCTCCATTGATTCTTTTTTCTTATCACATGGCCCCCAACTTTGCCCCACGAAGGACTCATTTCATTTCTCTTTTCTATCTTTTCACATTCTGAAAGACCCTACCACTAAAACAAAGGATATATATTAAGAAATACCCATTGGGTACTCGTCAAAGTACACACAGCTAGGACACAGAGCTTCTGGGAGTATGGGAAGATACGGCAGCTCTGTATGGGTGCTCCCCGCTCAAAGATAGCCTGACATGTGGAAACAGTATATCCTCATAACCTGTGGACAGGTGCTCATTGACACTGTCAAGTCTGGAAGAGGAAGCATTAAAGGACCTCAGGTTGGCAATTTCTTAGGTCTCTGTGCATTAAGAAGATTGTGATTCTTCAATAGGTGATCCAGGACAGGTGGGACCTGCATCAGATGTGCCAGGCACTATAGTACCCCTTCACTCGTCCAGAAACAAGCACAACAACCTCCCCGCGTTTGTTTCCGACCCAGCCTCATCACCTAATCTTGGTCTTTCCTTAATCTCTCCCAGGACAGACAGTAGCACCATGCACAGGAAGGTCATGAGTAGAGGCATCCAGAGCTTCACGATGCTGCCCATGTGTCTCAATATATATTGTCAGGACTTTTTTCCTTCCCAGTTGCTGCTAGAGATCAAGAGATATAAATAGAGTTGTAAAGCAAGAGGAAGTGCTTACAGAATTTCTTTACACTTTGCCTTCTAATTATTCCTCCTTACCTTATACCCACCCAACAATAGACACACACCTCAGCTGAACACTGCTAAGACGTCATCTCGCCCTCTGGGCCTTCCTTATGCAGAAAAGAAAAATATTTTAAAATGTATTGCCTTCCCTTGAGTGAAAGATCACTCAAATTCCGCATGCAAACTTGTTAAAACACTAAAAAAGTACAAAGAAGACAATGAGAGATTTCCAGTAATCCTCTTTATTGATATATGTTATTCTGTCTTCAATGTGTGCATATATATGAAAATGAACTGTTTTTATAAAACTGAAATCATATTAGGCTCACTGTTATACACCTTGTATTTCAAATTTTCTAACATGGTATTAAAATGAAAGCTTTTGCCAAGGCCCGTGAGACATATCAACTGGTAGGACTTTTAAAAAGAGAGAGAGAAAGATGGTCAAAAAGTGGTAAAGGGACTCTTAAAACCTTACTTGTTTTAAAGGTGGAAAATGGTTAGGAATTTGACATATTTTTTGGAGGGGATCTTTGAGCAGATTTTCTTTACAGAATGTTGTGCTCTCTTAATTCCAAGTCACTAGAAAGGCTTTAACAATACCTCCCCCTGAACTTTGCACGTGCCCCAAGGGTTTGTGAAGACACAGTAGACAGGGGTCTGAGTCACACCTTTGAACACAGAAAGCCTAAGAGGCTGGCCGAAGGGACCTATGGTCACAAGAAAAAGACTACAGCTTGCATTAATTTGACAGGGCAAAGAATATGAGAAAGGGCCAGTGTGGGTTTGTGCCAGATTGTTCCAGGCAGGCTGCCTGGAAGGGCCATGTGACCTCAGCAGAAGGAGGCAGAAACTGAGTGGCCACATCCCTAGGCTCTGGGCAAGGAGTCTCAATAGATGGCCAGAAAGGAGCTAGATTAAGCGGTATCAACAGAACCACAGCTGAGAAACTTCCACCAGCTGGGGTGTGGAGAGACTCAAAAAACCCAGAAAACAATCCACAGCAGAGTCCATTCTAAGCCCAGAAAGCACAAACACGAAGGTGCAATACTACCTGCCAAAAAGAACTGTCTAGACTCTCTTACCACTTCTCCCACCTCCACCTCCGAAATGGCACTTAGCGTACTGCAGGAGGAGAGGAGAGAGCCAGGAAGCTGACCACCCTCTGCGCAAATGCTTTCATTCAACCTTAGTGTTTTACTATTGCACAGGCTTAGACTTTCTTATATGTTCTAAATTTAGGCAGTGTCTAGAAAAGTCAAGTTCTATACCCAAGCTCTCATACAGCAGCAGGCGAAGAAGTAGCTCTTCTAAATAAATTTAAATGAGACAAAGGACAAATCTCCCATAAATATTTTCCCAACATATTAGTTACATGTACCATTAATATTTTCCCATTAATCATAAGACACCTGAAAATTTGTAATTTTTCTTTCCTAGGGGAAAAAATAAACTGGGAACTTTCTTGCAACTAAAATTTGGTTAAATACATTATTAGCTTCAGAGCTCAAATTCATCAATCTGGAAGTCCTGCATAAAAGATATTGCCTATCTCAAACCCTAGATAATTGTTGTCAGTTTTGTCTCCATTAAAATTGGTTTATTCTACCAACAGGTTATACATCCTATCTAAGGGGGGAACTCTCTCCACTCATTACCACACTAAACACTGTCAGTAGAGTATAAGACAAAGAATAAAACCTGAACACTGGAGTTGTAGGGACCCCAACACACTTAGCTTAATATAAATCATGTGATTGGCCAAACACCTACCGTAACTCCTCAGAGCTTCCGTTTCCCCTCTGTAATATGGGGGTAAGATTATTATCCACACTGCACATTTTAAATATATGAAGCACTGAGTATATGAGTTGGCACACAGAATGTACAAAATAAATGTTGGCTCAGATTCTCTTTTCTTCTCCAGAGGAGTGAAAGTTATTTAATTTCATTGACTTCATTGTGGTCTTCCTTTTCATTCTTTAATCTATTTAGAATTAATTCTGATGAGTGGGTGAGAGTCTATTATTTATTCATCTGTTCTAAATTTATTTGTCCCACAAATACCTCTATTAAGTGACTATTGTGAGCCAGACACTATTCTAAGCACTGAGAATATGGTAATGAACAAAGCCAGCAAAATCCCTGCCTTCATAAAACTTATGTTGTAGTAAAGGGGGCACCCAACATACAAGATGCATAGAAGAAATTCACAAAAATAGATGGAGATCGCTGTGAAGGAGAAAAAATAAGACAGGGTCTAGGATATGAGACAATATGCAAAACAGTTGGTGGCTATTATTTTAGGCAGCTCTCTGGTGGTAAGAGTTGGCTTTCTGAAAGAGGAGGTTAAGGATTGTCCAGAAAAATTCCTTTCCCCAGTTCTCTCTCACCCCTAACCTGGTGCTTCACGTTACTAAGCCAAACAGAAAGAAAGAAAAGAAGCAAAGACAAAGAAGTCTGGATACTATGAATAATAGAGTCACAATGGGGTGATTGTCTCTTTTCTCTGCAAGTGACCAATTTTCTTCTAGAGTCTTTATTTTTGCCTTGATGTCTTCAACCAAGCAGAAGATAACCTACATGCCCTGGTTGAAATCCCCCAAACGCTCAAAAGCAGGCACATTTTAAAAGGTGCAAACCTCTTTAGAAGGGCTAAACTTATTCTCCTCTCGGCATAGGTGAAAAAAATAAAAGAGGAACATAATATTTAAGGCACATGGACCTTTAGGTGGGTTGCCTTTAACTTTTAACAAAATGTTATTTGGAAATAATTTCAAAGGTATAAGAGTAAGAATGATACAAAAGCATCTGAATACCATTTGCTCGGGTTCACCTAGTTTAAGAATTTATACATACACAAACATATATATATTCTAAACTATATATATATATGTGTGTGTGTATTTTTTTCATTCATTTTAATGCATTCATTAAAGCATTTGAGAGTGTCATATATCTGGCCCTTATTTAGAAATAATACTTCTGTGAGTATTAACAAAAGGGACAGTCTCCTACATGATCATAGTTCAACTGTCAACTTCATTAAATTTAACATTAATGAAATATACTTTCATACTTTAATCTACCATCAGTATTCCATTTTATAAATTCAGCCAATAATGTCCTTTGTCTGTTGTGACACTGAAATTTTTTAATGTTCCAAATACAAAGACAGCCAATGTTTTAATGCAGCGTTCCTTATTTGGGATTTGTCTGAAATGCCTTCCTGATTAGACTCAGATTATGTACTGTCAGTTGGAAAAACTATGCAGGCAATACGTAGTGTCCTTCTCAGAGTATCACATGTGAAGGGACATGCTGTCCGTCCATGTCATCTTTCTGTCTCAGTCTCTCTGTTTGAACAACAAAGACAATAATTTCTTCTGCAGAGAGATGGGTTGGCACGATGTGGGCTTCTGATCTGAACAGAGCGGGCACCCAGGCGAGCCGCCAAGGAAAGGGTTTGCAGGCTCACGCTTACAGCCCCAGGACCCCGATTCCCACTTACCCCCAAAGGAGCTCAGGCCAGAAGTGCTGGTGATTGTGTCACTGCCGGTTCCTCTTCCTGGCCTCTGGGAGCCTCGGAGTCCCTGCACAGGGGACAGACCTCAAGCAGAACAGATTTCAAAGGCTCATGCCGTAATCATCCTTTGGGTTGTGGCAGACCCATATTCTGCCCCAGGCCACCAGCTAGACGTGTACAGATTGTCACTGAATTCCTATTCAAGAAATGCTTTTTTTTCTTTTTCTTTTCTTTTTCTTTTTTTTTTTTTCTTTTTCTTTTTTTTTTTTTTTTTTTTTTTTGCTGTAGGTAATATAGTTAGACACAGAAAGCCATGGAATTGCAAGAGCTTCACCTCCCCCAACACACACATTTCCTAGAAGTCTGGGTGATTGTGGAAGTGGGGGAGGATCTGTCCATCTATTCCCCTCTAACATTTGTGTGACAACTTTTATAAAGTCCCATCCATCTCTGTACAAATTGCTGCACTGCTAGCATCAGCTTTCTACTACCCCATCATCAAAGTCTGTGGCGTTTGTGCTGATGATAAGAGAAAGCTCTACCAAGAGAGCTTGGGAAAAGCCACATACCATGCAGATTTAAAACACAAACTCAACCTGGGTTCAAATCCTAGCTCCCCACTTACTTTGGGCAAATGGCTAATCTTCCCTGTGCCCCAGATTTCTCATTTGCAAAGTGGGGATAATAATAGGCCTTTCCTCATATGGTTTTGTGAGGCTTCTGTGAGTGATTACTTGTTAAGAGCTTAGAGCCAATGTCTGGCATGTAGGCAGCTCTGTGTCTTAAATAAACAAATGACACACCTAATGAAGCGTCAGGAGTTACCCCGTTTAAACCAAATTCACTAAGCATCAGATATTTAACATGTATGAACTAATACTCTCAATGACCCTATGAGTTTAGTACTATGATCATTCCCATTTTACAAATGCAGAAACTAAGGCACAGAAAAGTTAAGTAACTTGCTCAAGACCACAGAGATGGCAAGTGCCACTGCAGGATTTCGAAGGACGTGAGTCTGGAGCAACGAAGGCCAGGTGGTGAAGCTACAGCTCCTCTGGGGACTGGGAGCTGTGATACTCCTTGGACCCATTTCCCATCACCAAGATCACTCTCTCCAGGGGGCCTCACAGTACGAGCAAGAACCATCATGGGGATGGAAACTCGCAGAACCAGGATGACTGTGGATATATCTCCGGGAGTCCAAGTGAAGCTTGGAGTGTTGTCAGAGTTTCTTGGCTAGAATGGCAATGGTAGAGACCAAGAAAGAAGAAAAGCCTGTGGGTGGCCCATAGATTGCCCAGACACTTCCTTCTCCAGCTGTTTCTTTGCCTCTTCCCACTTTACAACACGTCCTTGGCCTTGACCTGTTGGTGGGGCTCCTCATCACTTCCTCCCACTTACTTCTCTCAGAAGAAAAAAATGGTTTCATTCCAGAATATCATTTATGGCTTTTGTACTATTAAAAGAGCAACCCATGCTTAGTGCATAAATCTTGTCAATCTATAAAAATGACAAGTAAATTTAAAATTAATGTTAACTTTGTCACCCTGTGCCAATACTTTGTGCCATCTAACCAAAAGACGTATATGTCATATGACAAAAAAGATATAAGGCATATAGAAAACAAATGACAAAATAATGGAAGTCACCCCTTATCAGTAATTAAAGTATAAATGGAGTAAATTCTCCAGTCAAAAGTGATTGACAGAACAGATAAAAAACATATGATCCTGTCATATACTGTCTATAAAGGATTCACTTTAGATCCAAAGACACAAATACATTGAAAGCAAAAGGGTGGGAAAAAGTATTCATGCAAATAGTAACCAAAAGAGAGCAGTGGTGGTTGTATTAATATCAGATCAAATAAACCTTAAACCAAAAAAAAAGTTTACAGAGACAAAGAAGGATACTCTATTTTAATAAAACTGTCAATATGGCAAGGAGATGTAACAATTATAAACATTTAGGCACCTAATGACAGTCATCAAAATACGTGAAGCGAACACTTGAGAACTCAAATCTCAATTCTCACATTGAGAATTGAAGTGAGAAATAGAAAGTTCTACAATAATAATTGGACACTTCAATACCCCAGCCTCAAAAATAGATAGAACAAGTAGACAGAAGATAAGTAAGGAAACAGAGGACTTAAATAATGCAATAAAACAACTAGATTTAATAGGCATGTACAAAATTCTCAATCTAACAACAACAGAACACACATTCTTTTCAAGTGCATGTGGGACATTTCAGGAAAGACCATTTGTTAGACTACAAATGGTCTCAATAAATTTTAAATGATGTTATCCAACCACAATTAGATGAAGTTAGAGACCAATAATTGAAGTAAAAATGTAAAATTTGGAATTTTATAGAAATTAAACAACACATTATTAAACAACTAGGGGTAGAAGGACATTATTTCAACATATTAAAAGTCAAAAATGAAAAAGTCGCAGCAAACATCAGAATAAATGGTGGGAGAGTGAAAGCTTTTTCTATAGATGAGGGAGAAGAGAAGGGTGTCTCTCTCCCCACTGCTGTTCACCATAGTACTAGAAGTTCTAGCTAGAGCAATCAGAGAAGAAAAAGAAATTTTAAAAACTTCCAAATTGGAAAAGAAGAGGTAAATCTATTTCTGTTTGCAGATTATATGATTTTATAAATAGAAAATCCTAAAGATTCTACCCACACACAAAAATCTATTAGGGCTAACAAATGAATTCAGCAGAGTAGCAGGAGACAAAGTCAACGAACAAAAACCAGCTGCATTTCCATACACTAACAATGAACAACCTGAAAAGGAAATTACAAAAGCAATTCCATTTCCACCAAAAAGAGTAAAATACTTAGGAATTAACCTGACCGAGGAGATGAAAAACTTGTACGATGAAAATTACAAAACATTGCTGAGAGAAACTGAAGAAAACATAAAAAAATAAAAGCACATCCCATGTTTACAGATTAGAAGAGATAATAGTTGTTAAAATGTCAGCACTACTCAAAGTGATCTGTAGATTCAGTGCCATCTCTATTAAAACCCCAATGTATTTTTGCAACAACAGAAAATCCCATCCTAAAATTCATATGGCAGTTATCTCAAGGGACTCCAAATAGCTAAATAATCTTGAAATGAAGAAGCCAGAAGACACACAGTTCTTGATTCCAAAGCTTAAAACAAAGTTATAATTATCAAAACAGTGTGATACTGGCATAGAGACAGACATGTAGGCCAATGAAACAGAACAGGGAGCCTATAAATAAACCTACACATATACAATCAAATGATTTTATGATGACGGTGCCAAGACCGTGAAATGGGGAAAGGAGAGTCTCTTCAATGCATGGCGCTGGGAACACCGGATATATATATATATATATATATACACACACACAAAGGAATGAGGTTAACGTAATGTTACCAGTGTGATGGGCAGGCATGGTGTTCTGAGGAGTATCAAGAGATCCAAGTCTCTTCAGATTCTATTATGACAAAGGGCCAGAGAAATGACTTGGTCCTGAAGTAAGGCAGTGAAGGCAAGTTGTGAGTCAATACATGCAAGAAAGCTACTGCTGATTACCTTGATCAACAGGTATGAAGGGAAAGAATTTTCTAGGAGCACGTCTGCAGCATGAAAAGAGAATCATGCAAAAGCAGAGGCAAGCATGAGGTTATGTGTTTGGTTGCAAAGAATCCAGCTCTGATCTCAGAGCACTGTTGGGACTTGACATTTTGGAGACGCAGATCAAGTCAGAATGTGCATTTCCTTCCACTTCCACTTCCGTAATGTTCAAGGTCTTACAGGCTTCCCCCACCCCCCTATCCTACCTAACACAGGGGCACACTGCTGCTCCAGTAAGACAGGACAGGCCAGCCAAGCATTCGAAGTATGGTGTCTGAGTTCCCTGGAGCAGGGCAGAGTGTCCAGAGAGTCTCCGGAACACAGGTCAGGGTACCAGTTACCCCAAGGAAGAACAACCACAGTTTCCTGTATCATTCATGGGCCATGGTGCTCATGCCAGGGGCAAGGAATAGGTCAGCCAGGCAAGCACGGTACACCCACAAGGCACGGAGCCCTGGACTTGGATGTGGGAGGTCATTCCCTGTGTGGGCCCCTGTGTGGGCCCCTGCGGGGGATCTTGCCCCAGGACCGCTTCAGAGGCGCTGTGGTCACACAGATAGGGAGCCCGAACCCCAGGGATTAATCCTCACGGACGCACCTTGAGACTGCGGACAAGACTCACAGCTACCCTGTGCCAGCTAATCCTTCCCAGGCTCACAACGGAGCCCCCTGCCCCCGCTCCCCGTGGCTCTCCTCCGGATTCAAGAAAGGGAGAGGGAGTGAGGCCATGAGGAGGAGGACTTGGGAGGGGTAGGGAGCACTCTGTCACTGGAAGGAACTGGAGTCTGAGGTCCTGGCGCCGCGCCCCAGGCCGCGTGGGGAGAGTGGCCACCCTGGTGGAGGCTGCAGTGGGGAGCTGGGTGGGCACCGACACTCACTGCCGTGCCCGTGGCCCCCCCGCAGCGGCGAAGCAGCGAGCACGGGGCAGGGGGTGGGCGGCCAGAGGAGGCGCCCTCCGCCAGCCAGGGCCTGTGTGGGCCCTACTCTCCCTGGCCTTGGGCAAGTCACTTAAGTCTCTGGATTCATTCTCTTCCCTCTAAAGAGACAGTTATGTGGACTTTACAAGGGCAACGGGGAGAAAGGGACAGGCGTGGGTCGCGCACCAAAATGTTGCAGGTTTAACTCCCAGTCGTGGCCTGCGCCCAGGTTGTGGCCTAGATCCCCGGTCAGGGTGCATACGAGGGGCAAGCGATTGATGTTTCTCACCTCGATGTTTCTCTCTCTCCTCGCCCTTCCCATTTCTCTGAAATCAGTAGAAACATGTCCTCAGGTGAGGACGAAGGAAAAAGAAAGAAAGAGGAGGCCTCCTTGGGGCCTCCTGCTCTGCGGCCGGGGGCTTAGCCCCCACCTGCCTCACGGGTCACCTGGCCCTTCCAGCCCAGGGTGAGGAGTCCTCCTGGGCGCTGGGGTGTGGCACACACGACAGTCCTTCCCCAGGGGGTACGGGTTCAGTGAGCAGAGCAAGAAGGGGGCTGAGCCTGGAGGGGCCGGGCTGGGGTGCGTGGGCCCAAAGGAGAGAGAGCAGAGAAGCGTGATGAGGGCCCCGGGATCCGGGCCCTGGCCCCAGGGAGGCGGGGTCACGCAGGGCTCCTCACTGGTTTCGCAATGACCGCAAGCCCTGGAGGGAAAACAGGCAGGTCCCTGGGCATTCGTTCTGGTTTATTTGACAGGAACAAGCCGTCCAGACAGACTGTGCGGAGGCTGACAACCCTGTGCCCTGGATTTCAGGTCCTTGGGTCTTGGCCACAGGCACAGTCTTACATAGAGAGTCAGGGGAGCAGGTGACACCGCGGAGCCCTCTTCCACTCACAGGAGCCTCATGCAAACGTTCCCGCAGAAGGTTGAGCAGCATATGGTGTCTGATTTTGGACACTTTAGGAAATATGAACAGTGGTTGTGGCAAAGGTCTATGCTGGGCCGCTTCTCACAGGACTTGACACCTAAAAGGAGCAGAAGGGTCGATGTAGCCAGACCGCACAGAGCGCTGCTCTCAAGCTTCGGGTCCCCTCATGACCCCAGAACCCAGGTCCCACTGCCAACGCTCTGGGACTCTTCAGGGACCTCACTTTCGACCCCTCACCAGTCCTGCTGACTGGTTGTGTCTTCAACCCATGACCCCCACTCTCCACCAGCAGAGCTCAGTGCCTGGGCTTCCTGGACCCTCTTCTTTACTGCCGCAGCCAAGACCCTGTCCCTCATCTTAGTCATGGCCTTGGCGAAGTCCCCCCATACAACCTACACTCAGAGAACTCAGTGAAGTCTGAGACATGCTAAAATAAAATTGCCTTCCCATAAGCATCTCGGGATGTTGACCTGTCACAGATGTCTATACAAAAGAATCGTTGCTTTGCTTTCCTATCTGATTCCAGCTCTGCGCACCTGTCACTAGTGTGCACGTCATATGTCCCTGGACTTGGGCGCTGGAGAATAGAAAAATGGAGGCTGCCCTCGATCCTGTCACTGGTCACAGGGCAGGCTGAAGGGGCTGGAGGGCCCCGCTTCGGGAGGACCCGGAGCCTTCACAGCGCTGTGGTCGTAGCAGGAGGCGCCAAAAGCTTCCAGCTCCCAGATCCTCCTTGGCTGGACACGGCCCGCGTCCCCCTGCCCCTACCTGCCCCTCAGCCCGTCACCTACTCTGTATCCTGTTCCACTTACGGGGCCCTCCCTGGGCCTGCAGCAGCAGCACACAGAGAAGCAGGGTGGGCAGCAGAGGCCGGGAAGCCATGGCTCAGCCTGCGCAGTGAGCTCCGAGCCTGGCACAGACCTTCCTGGAGAGCGGCGCGGGGAGGGAAGGAAGGGTGTCCTGGGCTCCTCCCTGCCCCCAGTGGCCAGGTAGGGGCAGGGCACGGAGTCCTGGTCTCCTCCCCTGTGCCTGCCCCTCCCATGGCCTGTCCTGTGCGGGAAGGGGCTGGTGGGGTGGGGGGTGTCCTGGGCTTCTGCAGAGCCGATCCTTCCTGTCACATAACTAACCCTCTCCTTTTGCAAACAGAAATTTTTTCCTGAAAGATATAATATTTTGTATAGTCTAACTACAAAATAAATTACAGAAAAAAAAGTAAAAATTAAATGTGTAACAATTTGTGGAAACAAATTAGGTTCATCATCGGAGGAATGGATAAAGTGTGATATAGTGGAAAACAGACCAGAAAGTGGTGGTTACCAGGGTGGGGGGCAGGGAGGTTGCTAAGAGTGTAGATCTCAAATGTCCTCACCACACACAAAAAATGATTATGATTTGATGTGATGGAGGTGTTAGATAACACTATGTTGATAGTCATTTTGCAATATATATGGTTTTCAAATTAACATGTAGTATACCTCAAACTTATATAATAAAGATAATATATAAACTTAATATATAAGGAAAAGTTAATATATATCATATATACTACATATTATAAATAACACATATGTAGTTTTCCAGCTTTATTAAGGTATAATTGAAGTGTATAAATATATTTTAATGAAGCTAAAAATATACATTATATATTTTCCAGATTTATTTATATATTCATAATATAAAAATATATTATGTATTATGTAATTAATAACAAATATATCGGAGAGAGAGAGACAGACAGACAGACTACAAGAGGACATGGCAAGCTTGGGGGCACACAGTAAGCACCTTAGAGAGTAGATACACCTGTGTATACCAGCTGTCTTAGCCCATTAATATAGGCCAGACTCTGTGTTTAGCCACATCAATGCTTTTACAATGGACCCGTGCATCAAGTGGCCACGATGACAAAGATGTAGGCTATGCATCAGCATGAGCTCACAGGCACGAAAACAAGCAAAACCTAGCAGCAGCAGGGACCAAGGCTGAGCCCTTGGTATAGCGCCAGTTCTCGGGAAGTGAATTAGCCGCTTGGTGCGAGTTTACTACATCTGATCCATTCCTCCCTGGAAAGGGAGTGACTTGCCTTGAGTGAGAAATGATGCACACTATGGAAGCATGATTGGACGTTTCTGTCTGCAATGCCTCTCCCAAGACTGCTATGTGATGGCTGATAGAGCACCGGCTGCGATGGCATAGGATTCCGTGAACTACCGCTTCACACCAATTGACAAATTTTACATCAGAAGAGGTGCTAAAGCAGGCCCAAAATTACAAGATTCCATGGTAGTATCCTATAGTATATTATCCAGAATCTGTCGACCTGACACAGTTGTGAATTGGCCAACTGAAAAAGCATAAAAATGGCCAGTTTGAAGATGACCCCTGCAAAGATGGAGCACTTACCTTCTGGTTGGGAAATACAATACTTTGAACCAAAGGACATTCATTGTATGTTGCAATGTCTCCAGCAGACAGAATACATGAGTCCACAACCAAGGAATTCTAAGTAGCCACACTCAGCATCACGCCCAGAAATTTATGCATCCTATCCCTGCAATATTAGCTTCTGTGCATTAAGAAAAACACAAACAACCTAGTTACAAAATTGCAAAGGACTTGAATAGACATTTCTGCAAAGAAGATACAGAAATAAATGGTCAGAGAGTACAGGAAAACATTCTCAACATTATTAGTTATTACAGAAATGAAAATCAAAACCACAGTTAGATACCAGCCACTCCGTACCCACATGGATGGCTATCTTCCAATAAAAGGAAAATTGGAAGTGTTGGCAAAGATGTAGAGAAATTGGAAACCTCATGCCTCAGTGATTAAAATGTTAAATGTTTCAACCACTGTGAAAACAGTTTGCAGTTTCCTCCTAAAGTTAAACATGTAAAGTTAAATATCAGTTTAACTCATAGGTATATACTCAAAAATATGAAAATAACTGCTAAGAAAAATACTTGCACAGGAATGTTCACAATACACTATTCATAAGCACCAAAGGGTGGAAACAACCCAAATGTCCATCAACAGATGAGTGGATAATCAAATTGTAGTATATGCATACAATGGATATTATGAATATTATTCAGATATAAACATGAATGAAGTACTGATACTACAACATGAATGAACCACAGCTATGAAGATAACATTTTCACATCATTTTGGCAAAAGTTCAAAAGCATGAGAACACATTTTGTTATGGGAAACACATGCTCACAAGGTTGGTAGCAGTACAACCTCTATGGAATAGAATTTGGAAATACCTAACAAAATCACATATGAGTTTACCCTTTTAACCAACAATTACACTTTTAGAAATTAACCCTGATGTTACACCTCCAACAATGCAGAAAATGTGCACATGACTGCTCATTGCAGCAAATTTGTAATAGAAAAATCTTGGAAAATACATGAATGCCCATATATGGCGGATTGGTTGTATGACTAAGGTGCATACATATGGAGGTGCAGAATGCAGCCATAGGAAAGGGAAAGTCAGGATATATTGTTAAATGAAAACAAAGTGCAAATGAACATATTTGTGCAAGAAAAAAGAGGAATTCAAGGATTCAGGTGGCTAATTATTTTTATCTTACACAAAAATTTCCAAAGAAATGGGGCTGCTATTCAGCACATTCTATGAGGTCATTGCACACTTGCTACAAAACCGAGCAAGGATGGTATGAGGAAAGTTACAAGCCCGGTTCTCTTGTGAACATGGATGTAAAATCCCTCAAAAAATAGAAAACTGAATCAAACAACATAAAAACTTCAATACACAATGATCACATTAGATTACTACACAAATGCAAGAATGGTTTAATGTTAGAAAACCTGAAATGTAATTCAATATATTAACAGACTAACGGAGAAGAATAATGCTGTCTCAGCATATGTAGAAAAAGCTATAGGAATAATTTCACATAAATCAGTGAAAGTTTTCTTGTCATGTCAGGAATGAAAAAGAACTTTTTGTACCTGATAAAAGATGTTTATGAGAAATCTAAAGGAGAAACTATTCTAAGAGGAAATTTAAGAAGTTTTCATTTTAAATCTAGTATCAGACAAGAATATACGCTATTATCATGACTATACAATAATGTTTGGGGGTGTCGGCCTGCACAATGAGAAATTAAAATGGCATAAAGTTTGAAGAGGAAAAATACATGTTATTATCAGCTGATGCTGATTGACTACACAGAACACTGAAAAGCACGCACCAAGAAATTATGATACACAATGGCAGAATTTAGCAAGAGAACTAGTTATAGATACAAAAGTCCTTTCTCTAAATGCCCAGCAATAGATGAATGGATAAAGAAGTAGTACATATATACAATGGAATATTACTCAGCAAAAAAAAAAAAAATTAAGTCTCGCCATCTGCGGCAACATGGATAGACCTAGAGAGTATTGTGCTGAAAAATAAGTCACACAGAGAAAAACAAATGCCATTTGATTTCACTTACATGTGGAATCTAAGAAACAAAATAATCAAACGAAGAGAACAAAAACAGCCTCATAGATGCAGAGAACATTTTGACAGTTGCCAGATGGAAGGGGGTAGGGGTAAAAAAGATGAAGGGAAGGGATTAAAGAGTACAAATTGGTAGTTACAGAATAGTCCTGGGGATATAAAGTACAGCATAGGAAATATAGACAATAATATTTCAATAACTATGTATGGTTTCTGGTGGGGGCTAGATTTATCAGGGTGATCACTTGGTAAGTTATATAAATGTCCGATCACTGGTTGTACACCTGAAACTAATATAATATTACATTATCGAAAATGATTGAAAATTATCAAGTCATTTCTCCACACTAGCAACAAACGAAAAGAAATAACTGAAGAGTTACAATACTATTTACGATTTCATTTGAAAATTCAAGCCTCTAGGAATAAACAGAACAAAGACAGGGAAAACGTAAAAATTTCGTGAAAGAACATTAACAAGACCTAGACGGATGGGAGACATAACAAGGTCAAACTTAGGGGAGTGAAAATGGCGTAGATTTGAAAAAACGCTCCCCGGCCCTGGAGTGGGCGTGTTTGGGAGGTGCTTGGATTCCCGCCAAGCCCTCCCTGGTTGTAATACGCCAGTCACAGCGCCTTCACTTTTCCCTCCTTCCGTCCTTCCCCCTTACTCTGCCTGCTCCACCGCAGCCGCCCTCAGCCAGGACTTACCACCCATCCCGCCGGCAGCATGAAGCCTGTGCTGCTTCTCCAGCTGCTGCTGTTGATTCCTCTAGCACTACAGCTGGTGCTTGGGAGTTTCAGGCAACATTTTATAAGTAGGTGCTGCGCCGGGGGCCCAAGGGAAGGAAGAAGCATCTGTAGAGACGGGAGGATCCAAGGGCTGATTCATGGGCATGTCTCGTGAAAAAACACAGCATTATGTTCAGGAGTCCAGATTTTATTGTCGGTAAGATCTAGGTTTGCATCCCTGCTCTGTTGCTGACTGAGTGACCTTGGGCAAAGTGTCTCTGGGCCTCAGATTTTATCTTTGTAATGAATATAATGATACTGGGATAGCTGGGAGGAGAAACTGACATAATGCATGCAGCCATAGAGCACTCTTACTGGACCATGGTAAATGCTCGGTAAGTATTAACTACTGTAAATGTTATCAGCTTCGTTACCCAGCTTATTCTTGCTGCCCTGGTTCCTTCATGGATGCTTGGGCCCACTTTTCAAGCATTAGAGCAGAGAGGACAATTAAGTTGGTGGAACTCGAGCTGGAACATACATAATCTTGGGCTTGGCAGATGATATGAAAGAAAGTCTTGCCTTGGATGTCACATTTTAAAAATTCAGAGCTACCTGCACAACGACTAGCGTCATTAGGAAGTTGCACTCCATCTCAGCGGCCACCATTGCCCCGCTCAACCTAACAAGAACGCTGGCCACAGTAACGCTGACCTTGACCAACACCAAAGGGGAAATGAACTAGTATTCATCATGCCTGCACACTTCTGTGGGGAGAACATTTCAGAATATGGGGGTGCTCAGAGCAGGGATATGCGTGTAATCTCATGTGCCAAGATAGGCAAGGTCCTGTTTTAGGGGTCTCAGGGAAGGCGTGCGGGTTTGTAAGAATGAAGGAGGCTAGGCAAGCTGCACGAGAATGGGGTATCTGAGATAGAGTTAATTGGAGAATCAAAGATGAAAATTCGAGTAGAGGCACAAGAAGGCCTTCTGGAAGACTGGGGAGTGCTGTGAGATTGGGACCAGATACCCAGAAGAGGATTCAAAACTTGAAAGGGTCAATCTGTTTGAGATCCTTGGCTCATAGACCCCTTCCCCATGCTGTTCCATTGAATCCCAAACTCTTGAAAGTGGGAACTAGCTCCAGTTTCTTGCACATGTCCGAGTGGGTCACAGGATGACTGGGAAGCCCAGAGTGAGTCTGGGTGCTGGCCTTTGCCAGACTGTCAACAGCTCAGGCCTGGGTTCCATTTACCTCATTTCTGGTGCCATTTGCTGCTATAATCATAGCCCCAACTTTATTCATTTATTCTTTGGTGGTCCACTTTGGTATCCTTCAGACCCCCCTTCTAACTGCAACAGAGGCTTATAGAAGACCCCACCTATGATATTTGCCCCAGGGAAAGGGCAAGTCACAAGATACAAAATTTAAGGCCCGGCTGGACTTGGTAAAGTGATTAATGGGCCCCATCCTTAATGCCTTAGAATTCTGGAACACACAAGTGAGTTGAGGGACTGAGTCAGGGTCTTCTGGAGGGAGTGATCTTGGCTTTGACCTGAGTCCTGGGGGATGGGGACAGTGGGATGTCAGCATGAAAATGAATATTCTTCCCCAACAGTAGAAAGCGGGGCGTCCTGGTGCTCTGGCCTCCTGATCAGTAGAGATCTGGGAAGAAGGAGAAGCTGATCTTTGACCCCAGAAGCTGACCCCACTCTGAAATACCCGCCCTTCTCCTCATGAAAGAAATCGCCCCCGGAGCCCATTTGTGATTTGGGCTCTAGCATCCTAGCATTTAGTGTGCTGCGTGGTCTTCATCCTTTCCCAAATCTTCCCTTCTGATCGTTCTTCCTATGCACAACTAACACATTCGGTTGACCTTAGAATAAACTATATTGTTATGAGATGCATTACAAACTCAGTTGAGTCTATGTAATGAGTCAGTGCCGATGATTTTTTTTCTTTTAAATATTTTATTGTTTATGCTATTACGGTTGTCCCCGTTTTTCCCTCTTTCCCCCTCCACCCAGCCCGCCCCCCTCGTTCTCACATCAGTTTTCCCACCAATGTCCACATTCGTGGTTCACTGTACATCCCTTTCTTGGTCACCATGCACACCGTTCATTCCCTTGAACTGGACCCAGCCAGGTCTACAAGGATTTGGCATCTGAGCTGCCCAGGTGGCGAAAAACCCATAGATGTAGGGCTCTGATGAACTGTGTCATTGATCAAATATTCAAGCTCTGGTTTTCCCTGCTTAGAACCCTGTGAAAGGCAGCAGCTAAGGGCAAAATCGTATTCCACTTCCCTGGGACCACACGAGGGTGATCAGGGTGGCTGATTTCCTGGCAGTTCCCTGGGGTTTTAGAGTTCTGACTGTTACTCCAGGCTGTTGTTTAGGCACTTCCCTTTCCTGTTCTGTGTTCCAGAGTATATTTTGGAACCTCCACCCTGCAGAGTGGCCCCTGAAAACTGTGATAAATTCTGTACCTTTCAGGAAGATTGCCCAAAAGAACTTCAGTGCTGTTCTGCTTTCTGTGGGACGATCTGTACATTAAACAAAAAAAAGGTGAATAAAAGGTAAGGAGCTCCTGATGCACAGTCCCGCCCCTGAAGCTGCTGATGGGAGCTCCATAGGAGAGTCTCTCACCAGCCACTACAGTGGACCTCTTTCTCCTTCTCTTTACCAAGAATAATTTCTATAAATGTCGTGATGAAGAGCCTTCCTCCACTCCTGAACTACAGAGCCCTTCTCTCCTCATCACCACACCTGTAAATCTCTGAGCCTGACTCTCTGGACACCCTCACGAAGCCCTCCATCCACAGTCCCTTCCCTGACCTAGCATCCCCCTTTATCCTGGGGCCTGGGACACTATACTGGGGCTACAAGTGTCACCAAAATCCAAAAGCAAAACTGTTCTGTTTTTGCTTGCCTTCTTTCACCAAGCACCATCCTTTGGCCCCCAGTGTTCCTGGGCTCTGGAGATCCTCCAGACCAAAGGAAGTTTTGGTTAATTGCCAGGGCATTAACCAAAATCTGCTGAATGGAGGGCACTCCCAGAGCCAGAAAGGACATTAGAGTGCTGAGGAGACATCTAGTTTCTAATCCTGTCTTACACCTCTCTTTCTAATCTTGAGCAAGACAATCCCCCATGTTTGCCTTTCTTTTTCTCATGCATAAAATGGGGACTCTTTTTTCCAACTTGCAAGATTGTAAATCCAAAATGACGTCTCATAAAGCCCACAAGGCAGGAAACTCAACCAGTGAGCTTCTAAAATGTCTTGTTCTCTGCTGTGATCCTTGCCCTGAGCACAATACCCGACATGTGAGAAAAGGTACAGAGTGATGAGGTGCGGGCCTAGAGCCAAACACCTGGACTCAAATCCCAGTTCTACCACTTCCTAGCTAAGTGACCTCAGACTAGTTAATTCACTTCTCTTCAGGCATCAACTTCCTCATCTTTAATACCAGAAAAATAATAACAAGATTAAAATAGGTAATCCATGCAAGCGCTACATAATAATTACTCCGTAAATTTTAGCAATTCGGCAACCACTTCTCTCTCAAGAGACTGACCCTTGCAATTAAACCCCATGTCTTTTAAGACTCCACGTTGGAGGCAGGAGCCTAAGCATAACTCTTTGTTGTCACTGGGCTCTTTGAGGCTCTGCTTTCCCCATGGCAGGAGAACTTAGCTTCCTGGTCTAGTTTTAAAGATGGAAGTAATGGAAAATAAAAAATTATATCTCTAAGGATAAAGTTTCACCAGATAATATTTGAAACTATTTGTCTTCTACAGAAACAAACACAAACACCAAAAAAAGACAAGTGTCCATTGAAGCAAGTGTCCAAGAGCATTTTGTAAGTAGTGGGGTTTGGCCTGGAATTCTTGGTGTGTTTTCTCGGTTTTCCTCCTCCAGCCTCTCTAAAGGCTGAACTTATAGTCTGACCTTATAGTCCCAGAAGGTCAGAATAGCCTCTGTCATCCAGATTGTGTCCATCCTCTGTTAGTCTCCTCCTGGGGCTATGTTCTTACTCCCTGAGGCAGCACACGGTCCAGGGTGAGTCACACCACATAGAGCAGGAGAGTCATGGCCCAGGGAGAACCCAAGGCATTCAGGTCTGAGCCTGTGCCAGGGAACAGGCTCTGCCAGCCTCCGGGGTTGACAGTGCCCTGAGCAGGAAGCCACGCTGAGCTCTTTGAACTCTGTGTGGCCTTGGTCACCTCACGCTCCACCTCCAAGACCATCAGCTTCCTCACGTCAATGACCAAGAGAACATCGCGCCTCAGGTTTTGTGAGAACACACGAGGCCATGGGAAATGGAAGAAACTGGTCATTCACTGCAAAGATTCTACAAAGATTAGAAGCTGCCAGCAACTCACTCTTTCTGGGTTCCAGGTTTTTCCTCTAAAAAAAGAGAGGTCATCTTTATTACTTTACCAACGTCCCAAAAACATTGGATTGGAGCCCTCTGTAACTCCACCACCAGAAAAGGCACTATTCATAACTTGATGGATTTTTGTTTCAGAATGTTTAGGGGGAAAATGAAGAGCTTAGGGTCTCCTAATAATCCTTCTGAAGTCACAAGTTTCCAAATTAGAAGAGTGGTATTTTCGCTTAAACTATCCTTCTATTAACACCGTATGAAGGAGCTCGGTAAATGGTAGCAAGTGGAGGCCAATGGAGGAATGTAAGTGCACAAGCACACGTTTACCCTTGCTCGGGCCCTGGTGAGTCAGCCGTGCTCCCTTCCTCTGCGCCTTGGGCATAATTAACTGCTCAGGCCACTCATTGGCCATCAGCATTGTTACGCGATCCAGCATGAAGATGCTGACCCAGCATCATGGTAGACCCAGGTGTTATATCTAGGTGAGAGGTGAACCGGGCTGGTGCTATGATGTAGGGTATTTTTATTTTCTGGGTTACATGGCTGTGGGTCTAGAAGCCTTGGTAAGACTCATCTCAACGCATTGCCCAAGGAGGCAGGGCTTTACCTTGGATACACAGAAAATCGTTGCCATAAACTTGAGTGTGTCTTCTAAGGAACCAGCACCCCCATCCGGTTACCTTCTGGTAGGATCAGCCAAGGCTGTACCCTTCAATGCATCGCATTAACTGCCACATCTGTTAGGTCCATGTGTCAGGTGTTTGCCCTCCCTGACCCTGCAGACTGTCCTCGGCAGAGTGGTTCCCCTCAACTGACCATGACCACTCAGGAGACCTTGGTGTTGCTGGGAAGGTCAGCTGAGGAAGGAAATGGCAGTGCCAGTGAGGGCCTGAGAAAAATGTTGATCTTGATTCCAGAAAGTGCAGCGCTGAGCTTCCTGTGGCGACCTGGTATAGAGAGAAGACATAGCCCAAGCCAACCTTGTCATGGTCTTCCATGCAACCTGGGCTCTGATGGGTGTTGTCACCTTTTTTTTGACGGAGAACATTTTAGCCATAACATGCTTCATCTCATTCGGTCTTCACAGCAACCATAATACCCAGTTTACAGACCAGGAAACTGAGGATCATAGAGTTAAAATAATATGCTCAGCATTAGCCAACCGGTCAATGATGGAGCTGGAATATGCACCCAAAGCTTGAAATGCATTCTTCCCTAGGGATCGCCACCTTGGGTGGCTCAGTTCACTACTGCTGAGTGCATTTTCTGTTTCCTGCTTCCCCTGAATTTTTCCATCGATGCACTTTCCCTCTGCTTCCAACTCAGGCCTCCTAACTCCTCCTTTCCTTTCACCCTTCAAAACCTGCCTCACTAAACGTGGTTTCTCTCCAAGACTCTGCGCATGCTCCCCACCCCCCATGCTCTGACTCCAGCTCTTCTCTCTGCCCAGAATGCCTTTCTCTCACTTTCCCAATGAGCTCCCACTTGTGCTTTAAATTTCATGTTAAATAATAATCTCCGTGGAGGCTTCACCAATTCACCCCAGATGGAATGGGTCATTCTCTTTGTCCCTGCACCATACTATAATTGTTTAACTTAGTATTTTTTTTCTATCTAGAATATGTCTCATAAAAGCAAGAACTGTGCCTGACTTCTTCGCCACAGAATGCTAGAACCAGACGCCACGCACATACTGAGACTACAATTCTGACTTTTCAGATGGGGTGCAAAGGAGGCTGGCAGGGAGTAGGCTAATCCTAGCATTTGCTGAACTGTTCTCACAAAGAAAATCTTCACTGCCTAGTTCTGAACCCCTCAGGTATTCCCTTTTGCCTGCTGGACTCAGCCTCATTTTACACATTTTTTTTCTTAAAGACTAACTTATATTTGCTTTTGAAAACTTAGAATAGGCTGCAAAACAAACAAAAGAGAAGCTTGGAAATATCTGTTCATGAGCGGAACTGGGACAGAGTCAGGGCTAAGTGTTCTGGCTACTCCGGGACTCAGTCCAGCTCTGCCTTGTGTGGCCTGGTGATACTGGGTGTCTCCAACTCCCAGCCTCTTGGTCTGTAAATGAAGTCAAAGACACCTCCCCTCAGGTGTGTCATGAGATGAAATGAGATGATACAGGCCAAGCCCATACCCCAGGGCCTGGCAAGAATCTAGGGAGAATGTTACTATTATCTGTGTCCCCTCAAGACTTCCTTTATCCAAAATTCTTGTTTTATAAAGAAATCTAAGTGCACATTTCACCTTAAGCTTGATGTTTTTAAAAATTTCTCTACGTTCCTTATAAATTAGCTCTCAAAGAAGACAAGTGTCTGATCTTTGAAGAATCTTCTAAGACGGAAGATAGTTATGGAAAGTACTCCATCCCTGAAAGATAATGTGATTAAAACCACATGATGAAGGACCAGCTAAATGAACAATGATCCCAATTCCTCTACTAAACCTCCAGGAACTATAGAAAATGTGGCCGCTCTCTGTAAATCCCATGAGAATGTTACCAACTTGGAAATTTGTGGTTACCTCATCCACGATTCCACTTTCCCCCAATCACATCCCCTCCAAATGAACTTTTCCCAAGATAAATTCATCACAATCCTACATCCTGTTCCTCTCTTCTGTGATACCCTTCTAACCTAGCTGATCTTTGACGATCTCTGGCCTGGACCTGGAAACATTGTTCAGAAAACTCTGTAGCTCCTTGACTACCATGAGCTGGTTCACCCAAGTGGTTCAAATTCATCTAGTGAGCCAGGCCTCTCACATTAAGATTGACTGTCTCTTCAACTCGCTCTCTAGAGCCCAAAAGCCTAACCTCTCCTCACACAACTATAGTCTGCTCAGCCCTCCCACCATTGGAGCCCAGGGTGAGTGGCTGAAAACAAGATTTTGTCCATGAGCCCTTTAAGGAGGTACCTGGATCTCTAACAGACTCGGGTCTCTCCTTAGCGGATAGAATCCCCATGGATTTTCACAGTCAGAGGTTATGTGGGCACCTCTTCCTTGCTCTGGCACTCTGGGCTGGGGAGTCTGGTCTAGGGGTGAGAGCCCACGCTCCTCAGGAGGAACTTTCTGAGCCAAGATGTCCCTCCAGAATCTCAGCCACTGCCCACAGGATTGGGACCAGCCCTCTTCATGGCTCTGCCCTTCCTGTGAGCCTCACTATGGCTTCTTCTGTAAATTCTTGGTTATAAGACTTCTCTTCAGCTAGTTGTCAGTTAGTTACTTGGGTTGAATGCTCTGTATTCTAGTTGTAATTCCAGTTTGGTTCTGGGAGGAGGTGACTGTAGCTTCCACCTACTCCATCCTCTTCTTGGGTCTTCTGTATCAATTGTTAAAGCATGTATTTTTACTTTTTACTCTGAGTACAATATGATTATCACATGAAAGGAGCTTGAGGCAGGAACAAGCAATGAAAGGACTGGGGAAACAGAGATCTCCAATTTCATAGGCACCCCACCATATGGACTTTCCACTGGAAGCAGTTGGGCATAGGACAAGAATGGGCTCCTGTTTGGGGGGACTAGGTGGGTATTGGACCGGAGAGCCCATATACATCACTCTAAATGAAGATCATTACTAAAAGATCCACTACTGATGAAATATGATGTAGACAAAGATGTTCGTCAGTATTACCTATTCATGTAAAAGTAGTTTAATCAACTTTATATTCAACAAAGGAAACTAGTTACGTAAATTATGGTAGATCTGTGATGTGAAACTAATGTTTTTATGAGAGGCAATGGACTGGGACTTTTTCTGTTGTCTCATGGATTTCAGCAGTCTTCATGACTAAAGACAACCATTAACGAGTGCCCATTCATTTGGAAGAGAAGTATGAAATTCCTGAAGAGAAAGGCATTCAGATGTAGACAGAGTGGTCCAATGGTCATCCCTCAGCCCCAACCATCTACGAGAAGGCTAGAGCTTTATAGAGAGAGGATTTCCAAAATGTTTTTGGAAGGGATGTCATTGAAATAAGCGCCCCTCTGACTGAAGCGCTTCATGATAGAGACACCTTGAGGAAGGACAGACTAAACTTCCCCTGGACACAGCCCAGGAGTCCCCTTCTGTCTCTCCACCAATCTTTCATCTAAGGTTTTAAGAATGTCCCCAGCCTTAGCAATGGTGGTCTACCAAATTGGTGTTTTCTAGTATTTTGGGGTGAAATTCTCCCTCTAAGTGTCACAAAAACTGTGCCTGCAGTATGGAATGAGACTGCCAAGTGGCCATTCCATGCTCCTCATTGTACTGGACAAGTCAAGGTGGGAGGTCCTTTGTTGGCTGCAGCGATCAATCACGATTACAAAAGAGAAACAGGACTGCTCCTAAACGGGGGCAGCAGAAATTAGATGTAGAACATAGGAACTTTCTTCCTCTAATGTAATGGAAGATTACAGCAACCAGTACAGGCAGAGCCATGAAGAGCTCCCAGGCTTCAGAAATAAGAATTTGGCACATTCTACTAAGTGAAAAATACAAACAAATGAAAAACCGCTAACCACTTGACACATTGCTGGCTGAAAGCAAAGGGAATGTGGATGAATAATGCGAGGAAGAAATCGATTGTCAGCCACCACTTCCTGACCAGGAAAGAGGACCATGTTATTCTTTTCCTTGTATTGTGGATGTTTAAAAATATAAATGCCATTAATATTGTATGTGTGTGTGTTTATTTTACTTCTTTTCCATCTCCCATGATCTCTTTTATTTTAGATTATATGTGTAGGTAATGTTTAAAGTAGAATTTATTGCATGGGTATTTTAGTTGGCATTGTTGAGTAACAATTCCCTGACAATAAAATCTCAGTAGCAAGTAACAATAAAGATTTATTTTCTGTCCTGGCTGGTGTGGCTCCGTGGCTTGAGCACCGAACTGCAAACTGAGAGGCTGTTGGTTCGATTCCCTGTCAGGACACATGCCTGGGTTGCAGGCCAGATCCCCAGTTGGGGGAATGCAAGAGGCAACTGATCATTCGATGTTTCTCTCCCTCACTATGTCCCTCCTTTCCTGTCTCTCTAAAAATAAATAAATAAAGTCTTCTTAAAAAGATTTATTTTTTCTCTCTTACATCAACAGGAAAATGCATGTTCAATTAATCCAAACTAGGTTTGGCTAAGCTTGGATCCAGGCTGGGATTGAGCTCCACTTTTGATCTACATGTCTCTCATCCTTCTTGGACCAGTGGCTTCTTAAGAATCACTCTTCCGGTGGCAAAATGCAGAGATCAAAGAAGGAAATCCAATCTTGTAAGCACATTTCAAGTCTGATAATACCCTTTACCAAAACAAGTAACAGAACCAAGGCCAAAGTCAAAGGACCAGGAAGTACAGAGGAAGTACAGCCTGTCCACATGGAGGCCACGGAAGAATGTAAATGTATAATAATATTATTTTGATAAGGTTTACTAGAAAGAGATAAACCTAAATACTACAAAAGCAAAATACAGCCACTGTACTCATAGTTTGCATTTCAAAAAAGGGAAACGTCCTTTCTGAATGACTGAAAATTTTAGAAAATTATGATATTATAAATAGTGTTTGTGAGGGCAAGATGGAGAGAACCTTGAAAGACCGAAACAGGAGGAAAAGGAAGAAAGACTTACTTCTCATATCCCACTGTTGAAATAATGGGAAAGAAGGAGAACACTATGAAAGTCTTCTCTGCAGTGATGTGGGTAGAGGTTGAATATATGAAAGAAATAATAGTCTAAAAAAGCAAAACTAAGAGAAAAACCAATGTCATGGAACCAAAAGGAGGGGTCTTGTTTTGTCCTAACCAGTCTAAGGGGCCTGACACAGCATCTGACACAGAAGCATGTCGTACGCTTCCTCAGCTCTCAGATCTCCTGCCCCGTAGTGCCCATATTCTAACAGGCAGAACTTCATCTTTAGCACATACTCACAACAAAATCCTGTCCTCAAATGTCACCTGCCTTCTTTCGTGTCCCAGCTGTCAAAACCCACCTGGGGACTCTTTTGCTGAAAGATATGTCAGAAGCAGTGGCTGGAGCAGCTGTTGGGATTCCATGAAGTTCTGATAGCATTAGCTTCACAGCCGCCCCCTTGCAGACGGATGCTTCCTGACTCAAGTGAATTTGTCTGTACCATTGGCTTGTCCATTCCCATCATCAGTTAGTGCCAGTTTATTAAGCTCTGACCAAATACAAAGTACTAGTTTCCTGCCTGGACCACTTTCCAGAAAACTGCCTACTCAGTAGAGTCAGAGATAGGTCCTACATCCCCATCTATCTTTTCTCATCATTTAGGTGCTCCCTCCTGAGTGAAGAACTGTTCCATACCTTAGCCAAAATAATCAACTTCAGGTGGTTTAAGGGTATCAGTGTGAAAGTCAAAATTTCAAAAATCTCACAACAAAACAGAACCAAGGTGTCCTGTGTTTCTAGATAGTATAATGTAGTGAGTTCAAATCTTGTTTCCACTACATAATACATGTGTGACCTTGGACACAAAACTTAACCTCAGCCTCTGTTTCTTCATCTGTAAATGATGATAATAATTGCATTTAACCCATGGGGTGCACATGATACTTCAATGATTTAGTACATATGTTGCTTAAAACGGTGCTTAGCAGGAAGTACTATCAGGGTTAGTTGCTCTCATTCATATTACTGTGTTTATTACATTCTTTCTGTTGCATGGGGATCAGTCTCGTCCTTTTTGTATAAAGTTGAAGAGAGGAAGGGAAGCAATTCTTTTTCGTTCTGATGATTCTACCCTCCATGGGTAAACATTCACAGAGGCTCAGCCCCTTTGGCTTCTGTGGTTTCTCCATGAATATGGGACTCACAACCAGGCATCTAATCAGCCTGCCTTCGGCTTCATGGCTGGGTACCCAGGCATTCACTGTTCAGCTCACCACCTAGTAATGCCCGGTCCTGGCCCTTAGGGTAAATGGGCTCAGATCTCTCAAGGATCCAGCACAAATTATAAGATTGGTTGATACCAAGGCTCTCCTACCTGCTGCCTGCTGCACCATGAAGCCTGCTGAGCTGAGATTTCTTCTAGGGCTCCTCATCTTCTTCTTGCAAACTACCCCATTAATGGGTGGTGTTTCTCGACTTTCTGAAAGGATATGTGGAGATCTCAAAGGTATGAACTTGAAGCAAAACATAAATTCAAAGAAGATTATGAATGAGGAAGAAAGTATTGGGGGAAAATGTTGGTTCAGGAAGTTCCTTCTTTTGGGTCAATACCCGTAGACTTTTTGACTTAGGGCATTGCTCACTCTGGGGGTCTTGTAGATGTCTGATGAGAAAAAAACAAAATAGAATACAAATAAGTCCTTTCCAATGGGGCTCTCTTTTGTAGGGGTTCCAAAGACTAGAAGTATTTTGAATTAGGGTTTTCATGACAAACTTCAAAGATCCCAGACCAATCTAGAGTGCATATTGAAAAGAGAGAAAAAAGGGACTGAAACTGAAAAAAATGAGGCATCCTCAATATCTGGGCTCTGGGCACGTAGAGGACACTCGGACACATGGTCCCTGTTTAGAGGGGCACACAATGTGGATGTAAGATAATGCGTACAGGCTCAGTGCTTCCAGAACATTGCAGGCAGCACAGTCTGCACTGGGAGTCAGGGACCCTAACCTCTGGCCCTGCCACCTAACACATGTGTGCCCTTGGTTGAGTCACTCAATCACTTACTATCCCTTAGTCTCAGTTTCCCCTGTGTAAAATGTAGATCAGGAAAAATGCCTGCTACACAGGGTGTTTGTGTGCAATAAGATGATGTGTGTAGATGTACCTGAATAGCTCCTTTTACCAGCGAGTAAATTCCAGGCTGGCTACTTGGGCAGGATAAACCACAATCTCAGAGTTGCCAGTGCAACCCTATTATTGCTATTTTGGCCACTCACTATGTGACTCTCATCAATAAAAACAGGAGGTTTGCCTCTGAGAAGGCAACTGAGGGAAAGGTGACAGGGTATGAAAGCAAGAGTATCACCTTCAAGGTTATGCATCTTGATATGTATCCTGTTTTGAGGACAGCAGTAGGCGCTGTTACGTGAAATTTGGAGTGCAGATAGTATAGTGAGTGTATGAAAACTGGAGAGTGAGCGTTCTGAACTGTATGTCCTATGTGGGCAGTTAAGAAGAGAGCAAGCCCTGGCCAGGTGGCTCAGTTGGCTGGAGCATTGCCCTATGTCCCCAAAAGTTGTGGGTTCATCCCCCATCAGGGCACATAACTAGGTTGCAGGTTTGCTCCCCAGTCGGGGGTTTATGGGAGGCAACCGATTGATGCTTCTCTCTCACATCCATGTTTGTCTCTCTCTCCCCCCACCCCTTTCCTCTCTCTCTAAAATCAATAAACATGTATTTTTAAAAATTTTTAAAGAGGAGAGAAAGATAAAGGTACAAAGCAGGAGACTGTGCTTTCATAAAGATAAATAAAATTAAATGGGAACCTTAGAACTTTGCACAAGCTTCTGGTAGAACCCCCTCCTTACTGCTCACTATTTCTCCAAGTCACTGACAGAACCTGGAGTTGTAAACAGTTTATATGCTCAAGGGCAATCTTGCCAAGTAATTCTAATTCCAAGAGAAAATACGATGTCCTTCAGTGACTTTGAATATGGGATTATTTTCAGGCCAATGTGAGGAATTTTTAAGGGCCTGCGAAAACAAGATCTCTTCCTGATTCCTAACAATCCCCTCTAACTCAATGGGAACCTGTCATACAGATCCCTGCCTAATGGAAAAGGATGTTGGTAGCTGCTATGAAGTCCACTTTAGATATTTCTTCAACAAAACCTCCAAACGATGTCAAAGTTTTGTCTTCAGTGGCTGTGATGGTAATCTTAACAACTACAAGCTTCAAATAGAATGTCAAGTTGCCTGTGAAGAAGAATACAGAATACCGTAAGGAATGCAACCTTGTCCTTGGTCCTTGGGGAGGGGAAAAGGAGAGGTTCTGGGACCCCAAGATAAACCCCGGTTTACCTGGAGGATAAACCCCTAGGAAGAAGGAGAATTGTCTTAATCAAAAAGCTTAACAGTTAGGTGAGATCTCAGGATTGTTTGTCACTTTGCAGTCAGAAAATCAAAAGACTAGAAAGAAAATAATAGCTACCATTTATTGAACAATTACCATGTACCAGATACTGCACTAAGTAATTACATATATTGGTACAAATTAAAATTAAAATCACCATAAGGTAGATGTGTATTATTATTTTCATGGGGCAGATGAGGAAACCAAGCCCAGTGGAGGTAACCAAGTGGCCCAAGGTCACATTATTAAATGGCATAAGAAGGTTTCTCATCAGATCTGATGGTTACCCAGGACTTGACCATCTTCCAGGCCTAAGGTCACCCATCCCCTATTATTTTACTTCCAGATGCAGGAATTCTCCATAGCAACATGGTGTTTTATACAACTAAGCTACCTCCAACCTACCTTTGACCATTCCCCAGACATAGGATCTAGAAGAAGGTCCATGGAGGCCAAAAGGGCTATGGTATGACTGATGCCCAGGGGAGAGAGACAGAGAGTGGCCTTGGCAGTAACTCAAACGCAGAAATTTTGTTTTCTTGCTGTAATTCTCTTCGTGGATCTTTGCCATACCTGGTACAGCGTAGACAATGACTACGTTCTGAGAAAATGAAAGGAGAGATTAATCAATGGAACCAGGGGAGAGAGGGACATTGAAAGAGTTGACAGGGATGGCATCCTCTGGGTTTCCCCTGAGATAAAAATGACAAATCAATCCAGGGAGACTTTCCAAAACCTATAGGAGAGACCTGTTGTGCTTTGTTTTGTTTTTGTGTTTTTGTTTAAACAGGAACCATTTAAGGGAAAGCAATACGCACACTTAATACACCATCTGAAGACAGACGTAAGAAAGTTCAGACAAAATTTTATGATCTTGGTACTATACCCTTGAAACTCTCATCTGCTTGCTCACTTTCCTGACTCAAGTTTTGTCTTCCCTGGGGAATAACTATACGACCATTAAAGTGAAATGACGTCTGTGTGAGCCCTCCTTCCCTGTCTCTCTCCCTGCCGCATTCAGGGCTGGACCACCAGCGGGTCCTGTCCAGGAATCCCCTCTCCCTCCAGAACCATTCTTCATATGTGCACACAATATTCACATTTTCAGATGTGACAAGCCCAATGTATATAGGATTGTATCACCTCATCTCTCATGTTGAGCCCATTAGGGAAACCAGAGTTCCAAAACTGTTCTCCCTTTTTGTCCTTGAAAACAAATTGAGCAATGGACCTCACACTCACATAAAATGTCCCTGCACTCAAATTTTTCTTTTAAAAAAAAAATTATTTATTTATTTTTAGACAGAGGGGAAGGAAGGGAGAAAAAAAAGGAAACATCAATGTGTGGTTGCCTCTCGCACGCCCCCTGCTGGGGACCTGCCCAGAAACCCAGGCATATGCCTTGGCAGGGGACTGGTTCACAGGCCAGTGCTCAATCCACTAAACCACATCAGCCAGGACTCAGAGCAAATTTTTCTTTGTGATGTTTCCTGATTCATTTCTACCAAGGCAGGAGCCCCGACTAGTTTAACTAGTCCCCTGACTTGATCCCAATTTATGAATGTTATATCTGGATATTTTTTAGTACATTGGTCACTGAAATTTGACTTGGCTATTCTCAGTGCTTCTGGGAAAAGGACCCTCAACTTTAGTCCAGCGACTGTGTTTTAGCAATGAAGGCAAAGATCATCCAAACACTGGTTGCCAAGTCTTCTGAATAGAATGCTACAATGTTCAGCATGATCTTCCCAGCTATAGGATATTCAACTTGACTGTTTTATCTCTGAATTTTTTCACACATCTCTTCCCTGAATCCCTTCTCGGTCCATCTTATTAATAAAATCCAATCCCTCACCTGTGAACCATCAGAGGTATTGTAAACCACTGAGTGCTATAACTAGACACACAGGCCTGGTCTCTCTGTTCAGTCAGGATTTAGAAAAACATCCTAGGCTGGCATGGCTCAGTCAGTTGGAGCATTGTACCATAAACCAAAAGGTCACAAGTTTGAGTCCTTGTCAGGGCTCATGACTGGGTTGCGGGTTTTTCTAAGTTGGGGCATGTGCAAGAGGAAACTTATCAATGTTTCTCTGCCTCACTCTCTCTCTTCCTTCCTCTCTCTCTAAAATCAATAAACGTATCTTCGAATGAGGATTTTTTAATAGGGTAAGAAAAACAATCTCCTAAATTAATACAATTTTCTGCAAAAAAAAAAAAAAATCTGATTACTTCATCAGACCCCCATCCAGACAGAGTTTACTATGAACAAGTGAAGCCCTAATTCTGGCGTATTTCAATTTTGGTGAACTACAAATCACTCTTCAATCCAATCAGCTGCAGGAAACATATCGTTGACCCTGAAATAATAGGGACTAGGCTAATCTGACTAGTCCACGTTAATGGAAGTTTGGAAATTTCCCTGTTGTGAGTCAGGCAACTGGTGTCCCAGAAGTGGGCAGTCTTTCAGGAACAAAATAACATGTTCCCCATAGCTTGTTTGCCCCCTCTTCCAGACAACCCCCAGAAAAGCCAAAGTTAAAAAAAAAAAAAAGACAAAGAATACTTTGAGGAGAGCTGTTCCATCTTGATGAGAAGAAGAAATTGATGCCCAAGACAGAGAACTGGGCACCAAAGTTGGGAGAATGAGTTGGGTTGAGAGCTTTTGAGTTATGTTACTCTCTGCACCAGAAAAGCCTGTCTGTCACCGTCTGCTCCTCCACTGTCAAAGCAGGAACAGCCCAAGACCCCACACGGGTGACTGAGAGAACACAATGGTGGTTCCAGAGCCCAGTGAGAGCAAGAAGTACATAAAAACAGGCACAATGGGACACGCCAGACACAGAGTTTATTGGGTTTTTTATTCCTGTACACACTGAGGGATAGATGACTAAACCTAAGAGAAAAGATTTACATAGAAAACACATCCAAGGCAGAAACACAGATTATGTTCTCTGCATAGGACGGTAGAAAGGGGAACAGTATTGTTTAGGAAGTAGCAAAGAGATGTAAATAAGCTCAGATTGTACCACTGTGGAGTCCGTGACTGCAATTTCCCAACACCCATATTATTTTTTTCTTTTTTTAAATTTAATCTATATTGTATTGTTTCCATTACTATTTAGTCCCTTTAAAACCCCCCACGCCCCAGCAATCACCACATTGTCGTCCATGGCCATGAGTCCCTTTTCCTTTTTGCCCCACCCCAGCTGGCATATGCTCTCTGTAAGTCTGTCCCCATTTTTCTTGTCGATTTAATTTGCTCATTAGATTCCACATATGAGTGAAATCTTATGATACTTGTCTTTCTCTAACTGGCTTATTTCACTTAGCATAATGTTCTCCTGCTCCAGCCATACTGCCACAAAGGGTAAAAATCTCCTTTTTTACGGCCAAGTAGTATTCCACTGTGTAAATGTCCCATTGCTGTTTTATCCGCTCATCTATTGGTGGACACTTGGGCTGCTTCAATATCTTGGCAATTGTAAACAACGCTGCGATGGACAAAAGGATGCTTATGATCTTTTGAATGAGTGTTTTGAGTTCCTTCGGATATATTCCCAGAAGTAGGGTCACCGGGTCAAAAAGCAGATCTATTTTTAATTTTTTTGTTGTTGTTGTTAAAGATTTTATTTATTTATTGTTAGAGAGAGGGGAAGGGAGGGAGAGAGGGAGAGAAACATCAATGTGGGGTTGCCTCTCGCCCACCCCCCTCTGAGGACCTGGCCCTCAATCCAGCCATGTGCCCTGACTGTGAATCGAACAAGCGACCCTTTGGTTTGCAAGCCGACACTCAATCCACTGAGCCACACCAGTGAGGCCATTTTTAATTTTTTGAGGTATCTCCCTACTGCTTTCCATAGTGGCTGCACAAAACTGCATTCCCACCAACAGTGCAAAAGGGTTCCCCTTTCTCCACATCCTCACCAGCACTTGCTGTTTGTTGATTTATGGATGATGGCCATTCTGACAGGTGTGAGATGGTATCTCATTGTGGTTCTAATTTGCATCTCTCTGATGATTAGTGACATTGAGCATCTTTTCATAAGTCTATTGGCCATCTGTATGTCCTCCCTGGAGAAGTGTCTATTCAGGTCCTTTGCCCGTTTTTTAATTGGGTTGTTTGGGGGGTTTTTGTTAAGTACTGAGTTTTGTATTGGTATTGAGTTCTGTAAGTACTTTATAAATTTTGGATATTAACCCTTTATCGGATGTGTCAGCAAATACGTTCTCCCATTCTGTGGGTTGTGTTTTTATTTTGTTGATGATTTCCTTTGTTGGCAACACCCACTTTAAATCAACCAAGAGAAATACAAGTTAAGAGATTCGGACTTTGGGTCATCTTCTCTGCACTGCCTCCTCCCACCCTCACGCATCCACCACATATACAATAACAGCAAAAACAGTTCATATCCCCACGGGCAAATGATCACAAACAAAATTTACCATAAACATGTCAACTAAGAAAAACAACAAGCTAAATAACTAATACGAAGTAACTCAGAATTTATTAAAGAGATAAATGAATAGGCATAATATTCTCAACTAAATTAAAGTGAATTTTGGTATATAAAAAAGGGAACTTTGGAAAATAAAATAGGTTACCTAAATTACACAATAGCCAAAGTAAATATAAAGGATATAGCCAAAGTATGAATTGGCGGTGGTAGAAGGTGAGGTTGAGAAGCCCTCAGAAAATATCAGAGAGGAATTTAAGATTTTTTATATGTAAAAATTAAAGTAAAGGAAAATGGTAGAGTAGGAAGCACCAGAAATCTGTCCCCCATGTAGACAATAATGACACTGGCAGAATCTATCTGATATAACTATTTTAGAACTGTGGATTCCATTGAAGGCTTGCAACTCCCAGGAGAAGACTTGGACAGTGATTGCAGTTCATTTTGCTCAATTCAGTTCTAAGCACAGTGAGCAGCCACACATTCCCCACCCTCAGCCGCGCAGCAAACATCTGTGCACAAGCTCCTGGAGCGGATTTAACACAGGTTGCAGCGTCCAGGGTGGGCGAAAAGGACCCTGTCCTCCCAATGTCAAGGGTTTACGCTCTGATCACTGATTGCTGCTTTTGATCACAGAGTGCACATGAAGAAGCGCCCCCCCTTATAGTTGCAAGCCCCTCCTCCTCAGGCTAAAGTAAGTTCCAGAGAATTTAAAAGGCCAGTGCTCTTTGTCCCTCTCTTCATTTTTCTCTTTTTCTCCTTTTGGGAGCTAGATGTTAAAGGCTGGGACATTCAAAACAACTGCATTTGGGGGGAAAGTTAGAAAATGACCATGCATGTCCAGAAAAAGACTCAGAAAAGATGTGAGACCTCAAGTTCACATTTCAGGCTGATCCTTGGCATAGAGAGACAGCCTACAACAATCAAAGAAATTCACAAAAACAATAATGAAATAAAACAGCATACACCAGGGAAGGGAGAGAATCTGATTTCCAGAGTAGCCACATTATTAGATTTAAATGTCCACCGTTCATTAAAAAAAAAAAAAATCACAAAGCATACAAAGGAACACAAAAGTAAATAAAATAAAAATAATAAATCAACAGAAATTGTCCGTGAAAAAGATCTGATGACAGATCTGCAAGGCAAAGGTTTTAAAGCCACTGCCTAATTAATCAGATATAGAGAATCAAGCAATAATATAAATAAAAGTACAACTTCCAAAAGTGTTAACAATGACAGGTACCTAGAATTTTAAGAACATAGAAAAGAGGGCGTGGCCTGATCAGGAAAGCCACAGAAAGGTTCACAGAAGAAATGACAACTGGGCCAGAACCTTGTGGATGAGGCAGAGGGATGGTAAGACAAGGGAGGAAGAACTCAGGTAGACAGAATACCACCTACAAAAATCCTGTGGTTGAAAGAAAAGAGATGGGTGTAAGAGACCAAAATAAATTCCCTGAGGTAGGAGATGGGAGTGTAGAAGGAAGCTTTGAGCATCACATGGTGCCTCTAGAGATGGGAAAACATAAGGCAGTGAATATACAGGCAGTTTCTTGCTTTTTGTACTGCAAAGTAAACTCCCAAAATGGTTAGGAAAAATGTAATACTATTTACTGAGGTACTATAGGGCATTTAGTAAGTCTGTTAAGGTTGGTATTGACAAAGATATAAGGACCAAAAAAAGAGAGTCTAATGGGATGATGAAAAAGTTCTAGAGATGGATAGTGGAAATATTTGCACAACAATGTAAATGTACTTAATTCACTGAAATGTATAATTAAAAGTTGTTAAAATGGTAAATTTTATATCTATTTTACCACAATAAAAAAAACGTCTAAGTTCATTATAATGGTACACATATAACAAATGTCTCAAATAATCTACTGTTGAATCTTACTGTAGAATGGTAATAAATTGATATCATAGCAAACAGAACACTTAGAAGTAGTAAATCTCTGGGTAAAGTTATGCACAGCTTCCATGTCTAAGACTGTGGTTAAGATTAGCATGAGTCTGTTGACCAGGTGATGGTCTGCTTAAGCAAGAAGATACATTTACAAAGTGACCTATCTGGTTCATTTGATTATTAGGAATATCTTCTATATTGAGGATCTCTTAACGAACAGTTACATGGAAAACGAATAGTCTCATGTTATGGACCCATTTATTCAACATATTATTACTGTTATTCAACAATTACATATTATAACAAAAGTTCCGTTCACGTTTCCCTTCTCTAAAACCGGTTCTCACCAATTTTCTAATCTTAATTATTCCACTACTTGTGCCACTAGGCAGAGAAACAAGGACAGAGAGTCCCTCAAGTTCTGCCACTGGGAAAATATCCATTCCTCGCTGTCCCTCGGGATCATGGAGCTATGAATGTTGACGCAGTTCATTTCCAATTGGTCCTAACACATATCACAGGAGGATTGTGCAAACCAGACGATTTTGTCACCTTTAGTCACCTGGTCTTCGGGAATTTCTGAAGAAGCGGTAGGTGTGGATTTCACGTCTATGGCAACACGACACAACAACAAGAATAAACAAGGTCCAGAAGAAGTAACGCTTGCTTGAGTGTGGTTGGTAGAGTAATAATATGGGTGTAATAACTTACAGTTTTAATTTGAACATTTCACCTAAAATGTCACATGGTGTGCTTGAGTACGATATTGTTATGTTACAGAATTACATGCTTATGATTTTGTAATAAAAAGGGGGCGTTATTTGTGCTGGACCCTGTTTTTCATGGGCTGAGAGTGTCATTTGCCTGCTCATAAAATTCACTCTTGCCTTTAGGGCCATCTCCTACCTGGCCTAATGCAGATTTCTTCCTTATTTTGACCGACTGTTAAAGGGTTTACTAGGTTCTCCAAGTTCTCCTCAAGCATCTTTCTTTCATAAGCTTTCACCGAAGCAGGAAATTACTGACCCTCGCTGTTTTCCAGCCTGTGACATTTTCACTTGATGCCTTAGACCCCACACACTGGAAGGGACTTTTCACCTTGTCTCCCTGGAAACCTTCTGTTGGGAACATTCACTCCCACACTTGCATATGGCCGTATGGGCAAGTAAGGAGCCCAATATTTAAATAACGGTGTTATCAGGCAGCCTTTCTTCTGGACACTCAAGGGAAGAACACAAAGCATCCAGCACTCTGAACAGACTTATTCCTCCATCATAGCCTAAGGCTTCTCCTAGTCAACCCTGCCACTGCTCAGCTTGTCCTAAAGGGACAATAGAGCTGGTGATCAGTAGCCAAGATGTTGACCCTGCTGGAAACATAGAACCAGAACCTTCAGTTTCCTTTTACTCCAGTCTCTGGCCCTGACCTTTTTCTACATGGTAGAGAATATAGTCCAACCAACAACAGACACTTTGCCTCCACCCATTGACTATTAAATCAAGTTTCAAGACTTTTATACAATTTCATTATAAAAGACTTAAAAGGAATCATGACTCATTTGGCTCCTTCTAGCAATGCATGACCTAGCACAACGGAGAAATTAAATAATTGTAGAGTAATTACATTATCAATGGGGAATAGGATCATAACTATAAATATGCAAAAAATTTAGAGGTTATCAGAGGTTTTAAAATACAAGTTTAAACTTTTCAAAAAGATTGTTCCACCTGCATCCATATTGAGGTTACTTAGATTTGTTGCCACATAGAATTTATACTATTAATCATATGGAAATATGGAGTCCTATTACATAACAAGATTGGGAGAGTCTACGTGGACAAGCAGGGATTTTTAAATTCTTTTTCATTTGTAATGTCCAAATACAAAGTAATAATTTATTTCCTTAGCAAAAGGAAATATTCTGGCACCAATATGAAGCTAAAATTGAGATTTGCCCAATATGAATCTAGAGCCCTGACCACCAACAGCCTGGACTCCCTGATGCCAACACACACACACACACACACACACACACACACACACACACACACACACACACACACGGCTGCCGGTCCTCCCGCTCAGGACTTGCACCTGCCTGCACTGGTAGGAAAGAAAGGGTACCATTGCTGGGAGTTCAATATGTGCGGGGCGAGTTCTGCAAAAGAAGTGGGGTAGGGGGAGATGCTATTAGCAGAGGGGGGATAAAATGCTACGCCCACAGAACCAAAAATAGTCACTGCATTTCACCCCTTGACTCTTCAATTTACATACACTGTTTTCCATTTCTAAACCTTTTGCAGGCTGTGGATGGACATAGCCAAAAGCATTTGCCCACAAGCCAAAAAGAGACAAAAGTCCCATTTGCTACCTCAAGTAGCTTCAGGGCTAGGGTCTCACAGGTAAAGTGCCTTCTCTTTTAGCACGAACTGAATCCCACTAGAAAATTCTGCAACCAGTGTATGAAACAGCAAGTTTCTACATCAACCAATCTATTTTACATAAAACGGTATGTAAAATTGGGAAGAGGGAATTTGGATTAATTCTCCAACACAAGCAAGGAATGAAAGGTAAGATATTTGTGCTACACCGTATAAGGCTGTAGGTAGTTTTAATAACATCCCCCCTGCAAATATATTCCATGTTCCTCATCGTTGGCCAGAATCTCTGTTCAACTAGTCTCTTTATACATTGGGTAACCCTAATGAACATTCTAGACACAATAAATATGAGCTTATGGTGGGACTCCTGGGTAGGTTTTAATCTTTCCATCTTTCAGGCTGTCATGTTTTCTAACTTCCATGAAAGTTGACCAATTAGGATGACGTATAATGTGTGCTCTGGGGCATCAGAGCCTCTCCAGTGAAGCGTTAAGCATATCCACCTTATGGTCCGACTCACTCATTTCAGACAAAAACATAATTTTTCTTTTTCTGCTTTTCCAAGAGAATTTCCATTGAGGCCGTAAGAGTGGATTAAGGAATCTGTGGTAACTGTCAAAAGAGGCACAACTGGGAGGTGACCTACACGAGCAATGAAATAGCCTGGTCCAGTACAGACTCCTTCTGCTCTTAATGCTCTGTTGCTGGGCTCATGGGTGCCTCAAGCATTTCCCAAAAACCTGCAGTTACTAGTTTTCTACCAGATGGAGCAGAAAATGCGATAGCAAAAAAATAAATAAATAAAGGAAAGTTAATGACCCTCCTGGTTTTCCGCCTCACATCTCTTTCATCTAAAGCTTTACGCTCTGTGCCTTCTACTGAAATAGAACATCTCACTTTCTCTCCCCCAGAGACATGGGGTGCAGGACATTCTCTGCCATATTAGTATATGACAACAAAGAGACACTTCATGCAAAACATCAAGGCATCCAGCATCTTGGGAGATACTTAGTCAACTCACCACAGCCTAGGTTCTCTCCCATTCAGTTCTGCTAACAGCCATTCTCCTTCTGGGGAGCTGGGCTAGTTAGCAGGTAAAACGAAAATAATAACTCTTGAAACCACTGGAGCAAGGCACCTCTAGACTCCTTTCCACCTGGCCCAACAATGAGGAATGAACATCAGGAATAGGAACGTCATTGGTAAATCGAATAGAAAAGCCAGAAAGAGATCCAAGTACAATTAAGAACATAATGAAGTTAGCATTTCAAACCAAAGGAAATTTTGATATATTCTTCAATAAATGATAATAAAATTTGCTATTCATCTGATATGATAGGCAAATTAGATCCCTACCCCACATTATATATAAAAATAAATTTTAAAGATATGAAGGTTGTAAATGTAGAAATACTAAAATGATAAACTCATAGAATAAAATGTTAGAAAATCATTTTGCTCATTTGGAGTGATGGGGGACTTTCTAAGGAAAACAGTAAACTCGGGAGCCCCTAAATTTGGGTGTTTATGAATGACAGATTTAATTATATATATATGCATATATACTTATCTAAATATTAAAAGTATTCAATTGAAGAAACCACAACATTATGAGAAGGCAAATAATACCCCATAAGAAAACATTTGCAGCAAACGTAACTATGAAGACTCACAATTTATAAGGTATCCTGTAGATCATTAAGAAAAAAAAATCTCAGGATGAAAATAGCCAACATTTAATAACTGGTAATTCACAAATTCAAAATGTCAATAACCATTCTAAAATATTCTGACCCCCACAACGAGTAGTCAGGAAAATATAATTTAAAACAATGGCCTGTCATTTTTCACTCATGAGACTTCCAAAAAAAAAAAATTCAGTGTTGGTAAGATGGTGGTGAATTGGGTTAATATCTGCTAAACTTCATAATGCAGCTTTTGGTCCAGAAGCCCACCTCTAAAAATTTATGCCATAGGAATAATTGTACATAAAGATCCATGTTCAACAACATTCTCTGCAGCATTATTTGTAATTATCTATCAAAAACAACCTACCGGGGAGAGCAAGGAGGGGAAAATGGGGACAACCATAACTGAACAACAACAAAAAAACTTTTTTAAATCTAATTGACCATTAATACAAAAAAATGTTAAATAAGTTATGATATATTGATATAATTAATGTAGCTATTTTAAAAGCTCAGCAATAAATGATTAAAAGCAAGTCCCAGACCCATCTGTATAGCATGATTTCAATTAGGACTCTGTTATTTTCAAACTAAGATAGAAGCTTTCTTAATGAAACCCACTCAGTGAGCTGATTGGCCTTCCATTCGTATGTAAAATACACTGACAGAATTGTTCCCACCTTGGGAAGCATGGGTAATGGATGACTAAAACAGAACTTACCATCAAAAGGTGACTCTAGCCTTTTGGGAGGCCAAGAGCACCGACCGGTACCTAGAGCTAGGTCTCTGGGCCTTCGGGAAGCACAGTGGGAGCGTGCACGTGCGTGGAAGGACTGAGAGAAGTGACTTTCTTTACTTTCTCTAATTCAGTAAAGAAATGATGAGGGTAGAAAACCTTTCGTTTTTTCTGTAATTTTAAATTTTTTTCTAGAAGAGTTTAAAAGACAGAAAATGGTCAGCGCCTGTTTGTTAGAACTTACAGGTATAATCATCTCACCAGTAAAATCAGCATTTATTTAAATGTCATGCATGTTTATTAATAAACGCGGGCATTCTGCTATGTATTGAGTTAGTTTGAGTAACTGCACTTGATGGAACTTTTTTTTATACTTTTACAAACTATTTTCTAGTAAATTTTTCATCTCTTCGATGTTCTATTATTGAAGATGTTTATTTCTTTTTTTATTTGTCGGTTAGAGTTGATATTTAATATTATTTTATTAAATATATCAGTTTCAGGTGTCCAGCATAGTGGCCAACTATCCAACTGGCACCATACAGAGTTACCATGGTATTATTCACTATATTCCCTAAGCTGTACTTTACATCCCCAGGACTATTTTTAACTACCAGTTTGTACTTCTCAGCTCCTTCATCTTTTTCGCCCAACCCCCCAAGCTCTCTCCCCTCTGGTAACCATCAGTTCATCTCTGTATCCATGAGTCTGTTTCTGTTTTGGGAGGTGTTTATTTCTTCTCCTCTTTCTTAGCCATCTTTGCCAAAGTTTTGTCTATTTTAACGGTATTTTAAAAGTACAAATTTTTTATTTTATTTAGCAAGTTTAGTGTTTCTCTAATTCATTAATTTCCATTACTAAGTCCATCAATCTCTTCTGTCTACTTTCTGTATATTTATTTTTCTAGTTTTGGTGCAGTTTCTTAGGTTCAGGACTCTGTTGACTCACTTTCAAATTTTTACATTTATATGGGATGGGACGAAAGTAGGTTTATAATTGTGAGTATGGAAAACATGGAGTTTACTCTTGTATTATTTATTAATTATTGTATTATTCTCCATACGACCAACTGTAAACCTACTTTTGCCTAACCCTTTACATTAAAGCACT